TCGGCAACACTAGCGCGTGCTCGGCGAGACGACAAGTGCTCCACTACTTTGGCCGGTGCTTTCGGCAAGATCGGCCGGAGTGGTTCACTATCGTGAGCCGGTGATCCCGTGAGACCAACGGAGTGGTCTGGAGGCTATCGGTAGTTGTCCGGAGGCTGGTCCGATGGTCCGGAGGCTATCTCAGTGGTCCGGAGATCATCTCGGTGGTCGGGAGGCTAAGCTGTGGGCCAACAAGTGGTATCGGCGTCGTACAAGCGCGTCGTCATTCTAACCGGATGGCGATGACGAGCGGTTTGGAGTTGGGCGACGGCAGCGTGGCACTGTCGTGGTGGTTGCCCACCACTCACGGGAGGTAGTTGTCCGCGACGATGCGGGAGGTCGGTGGCACCACTTGGCCGACGCCGACTCGCGACTAACTATGGAGAGTGGTCGGTGACCATGAAGGTCAAGCTTAGAGCCCGACGGCTCACGGAATGTTGATGACAAGGGCACCGAGCGTGGAAGAAGACGACATGTGTCGATTGGAGGCTATCCTCATTGCTTTGTCTGCGTGAGTATAGGGAACCGTTGGGGACGAAGAGCTCGGCTAAGGAGGCGTGGGAGGCCATTGCGGCGCGCGCGCGTCGGTTCCGATCTAGCAAAAAAGGCAACGCCCGGCTCCAAGCAGAGAGTACGCAAACCTCAAGTTCAAGGATGGTGAAATGGTGGAGGACTTCTCCTCCGCTGCTGAGACGCTCATCGCAAAAGTGAAGAGCCACGGCATCACCATCGACGAAGAGGAGGCGGTCTCTAAGTTCCTCCACTCCGTCTTAAGCAAAGTACATCCGATCGCTCTCTCCATAGAGAGCGATCTTTGGACTTGTCCACCCTCACCATCGAGGATGTGGTAGGCCGTCTGCAGGCGGTGGGACGGCGCTGGTGCAGCGGCGATGCATGAAGGGCGACGCTGGAAACTCCTGGCCGACGGAAGAGAGTGGGCGCGCTCGGCGAAACTCCGGAAGGCGCCTCCTCCGGTCGCGGTGGAAGCGGCAAACATTGCGGTAGGGCTTCTTCGGAGAAGAAGCAAATCGACTCAACGCTGTCGGTGTTGCGGGAAGATGGGCCATTGGGCACGGAGTGCCCAAATCGCAAGAAGGAAAAGAAGGCTCAGCTCACTGGCGAAAGCCGATGATGAGGATGAGGCTACTATCCTATGGCGGCGCTTCGCGTAATCGCCTTTACTGACGACGCCGAGGCCATGGAGAGGGAAGAGGCGACGATGGTGGAAGGATCTAGCAAGGCCCTGAAGACCGTCAACCTCGACGAACCACGCGCCCAAGTCCATCTTGGGCATATGGGCGTCGACTAGGAGCAGCGGTGGTATCTGGACTCTGGTGCCAGTAACCACATGACGGGCTCCAAGGACTCCTTCTCCGAGCTCGACGGTGATGTTCGCAGACGGTGAAGTTTGGTGACGACTCAAGGGTGGCTATCCAAGGGCGTGGCACCATCATCTTCGAGATGCTAGAACGGGGAGCACCGCTGCGCTAACGGATGTATACTACATCCCGCGTGCGTTCGAAAGATATCGGCATTGGTCATTTGGATGAGCGATAGCGAGGTTTCGATCAAGGACGGCGTTCGAGGATCGAGACCGGGAGCGACGACTTCGCCAAGGTGAAGAGGTCCTGAACCGGTTGTACTGTTTCGACAAGGAAGGTAGAAGCGGTACCGTTTTACTGGCGGCAAGGCACTCGAGGAACCGTGGATGTGGCATGCCCGGTTCGGACATCTCGGCCCGACGCTTGGTTGGGTGGGAAGATGGTCCGAGGGCTACCCACATCAAACACGGAGGCGTAGTGTGTGGTGTACCGCTGGCCGGGAAGCGAGGAGGCTACCTTTCCCAAAGGCGGCCAAGTATCGCGCTGAAGGAAGCTCTCGAGCTAGTTCACGGCGACTCTCGGGGCCGATCACACCTGCTACATGCGGTGGTGGCGGTACTTCCTCCTACTCGTGGACGATTGCAGTCGCTACATGTGGCTACAACTCCTGACGAGCAAGGACGAAGCGGCGGTGGCGATCAAGAAGTTCAAGACGCGCGCGGAGGCCGAGAGCGGCAAGAAGCTCCGTGTCTCGAGGATCGATCGGGTGGCGAATTCACGCCGGTGGAGTTTGCTACGTCATCGCGCGGATCAAGGTGTGGAGCAACATCACGCCGCTACCGTACTTCGCCACAACAGAATGGCGTAGTGGAGCGGCGGAACCGAGAAGTGGTCGGCATGGCCCGATCCATGATGAAGGCCAAAGGAATGTCAAAGCAAAATTGCGGGAGAGGCGGTGACCACGGCGGTGTTCATCCTCAACCGCACTCCAACCAAAGCCCTAACGGGCAAGACGCCGTTCAAGCTTCGGCACGGAGCAAGCCGAACGTGTCATTTCTCCGGACATTCGGTTGCATCGGCCACGCCGGGAAGACGAAGCGAACCTCACCAAGCCGGAGGGCGTGAGCACACCCATGGTGTTCTGGGCTACGTGGAGGGTACCAAGGCGCATCGGCTCTATGACCCACGCGGAGATAAGGTGATCTGTCTCGCGTGGACGTTGTGTTCAACGAGGAAGCGACTTGGGGACCGCACGGTCCGAGCACGGGAAGCGGAGGCTTCACCAACACCTTCGTCGTCGAGCACTTGGTCATCATCCACGGCGGTGGAGACGCTGCTGAGCAGTGCCACGACTCCGGGAGGAGCGCCGAGCACTCCCGTGGTGAGAGTCGAGCACTACGGGGCGAAGGCCGAGCACTTCGGGAGGGATGCCGAGCACTCGAGAGGAGTGTCGAGCACTTCGGAGGAATGCCGAGCACGCGCTAGGAGTGGAGCAAGGAGGTTCTCTGATGGTGGCGACCACTTGGGGATCGGCACCAAAGCACTCCGTGGCGGAGCCAAGACGTCTTCTTGTGGTTCCGACCACTCCAAGATCGAGGTGGGCACTCCTACAGTGTGGCGAACACCGCAGGAGTTATGACGCGATCCGAAGCGATCCGAGCACTTTAGGTGCTATGCAGGCACTCCAATGGAAGAAGGAATTTCATCACCCCGATCGAGTTCGCCTCACCTCCAAGTGACATCACCGAAGTTCGTGGACGCCTACCACGAAGGTGAGGAGTTGAGGTTCCGCAGTCGGGCGACATCGACGGACGACGGAGCACCTCTGGCGCACTTGTCTTCCTCGGGTCGACCCCAATTTCATGGTCGTCATTTGAAGCAGAAGGTGGTAGCGCTATCTACGTCGCGAGGTGTAGTACGTGGCGGCCGCAATGGCGTGCCAAGTTGTGTGGCTCTGGTTTACCTGGCCGGGCGAGCTAACGGCGTGGAAGCTCACCCACCAAAGACGCGATGGTGGACAACCAGCCCGCCATCGCCCTCGCGAAGAATCCGGTTACGCGACGACCGAGTAAACACATCGACGTGAAGTTCCACTTCCTCGTGGGTGTGTTGATGGAGGGCGATCGTCATCGAGTTAAATCCGAAGCGCTTTCGGCCGTCATGGACGTCCTCACCAAGCCGCTTCGGACGACTTCGACTCATGGAGTGAAGGAGATGATCGGCATGGAGGGGTACAAGGGTTAGCGATGAGGATTAGGGAAGATTGTTAGCTAATCATCGCCACCTTGTGAGAACACACAGAGAGGAAGGTGGCGTCGACTTTATCAGTCATTGTGTGTGTGAACACAGCAAAGGGAAGGCGGCGCCGACTTTGCCCCCCTTTTTGTGATCAAGATGTCAGCTGCAGTGCGGTATTGCCGCAGCGGCTCACCGCAAAGATCAGAGAACAGAGCGGCAAGTGGCGCAGCAGTCACTCGCCGGGTTATCTATTCTTCGTGTCGACTTTGGGTGCCGCACATGGACTAGATAGTTAGAGTTGTATAAATAGACATGTATGGCAACTCAAGAAGAGAGCTCAGATTTGCCATCACACAGACGAGGGGCCTCGCCAACGCCGTTGTCTTGTATTGTGCGTGCTTGCTCTGTTCTCCCTTCTTCTTCTAGCTCGATCCGTAGTGTGTGTAGGTACGGACAACGCCGCAGACGTGGTGCAGACGGCTAGTGGGTGCTCGGCAACACTAGCGCGTGCTCGGCGAGACCGACAAGTGCTCCACTCGCCTGAGCCGGTGCTCGGCAAGATCGGCTGGAGTGGTTCACTGTCGTGAGCCGGTGATCCTGTGAGACCAACGGAGTGGTTTGGAGGCTATCTCGGTGGTCTGGAGGCTATCAGGTAGTGGTCTGGAGGCCTGGTCGGTGGTCTGGAGGCTATCTGTAGTGGTCCGGAGATCATCTCGGTGGTCGGGAGGCTAACTGTGGGCCAACAGGTACCACTTCATCCGAGGCTGTTTGGAGGACGGGAGCATCAAGGCGAGTTACATCAACACCAAGGACCAGCTTGCGGACCTGCTCACCAAGCCCCTTGGGAGGATCAAGTTCCTTGAGCTCTGCTCCAGGACCGGGATGGTTCAACTTTCCCACAAGACGACGCACAAGACTTAGGGGGAGAATGATGGGATAAGTCTCATCTGTTGGCTGGTCTTTGTGGGGCTGTGTTGGTCACATGGTCATTGTGGCTGCATGGTCTGTTTTTAGGACAGCATCTTAGACTAGAGGACAGCATTTTGGAGGACAACATCTTAGCATCTAGGACAACATCTTAGAGGATAACATCTTAGCATCTAGGACAACATTTAGACTAGCATCTTGGCATATGCTTGGCTGGTTAGCAGTCTATAAATATGTACCCCCAACCCTTCAGGTTGGCATGGCATTTGTGTGAGAAATAGAAAGAAAATTGCCCCAACTCCTAGTGTCATCCTCTCTCGATGAGAGTAAGAATTCTGCTACTACCAAGAGTAAGAATTCAGCGACTAACACAATGTTAGCTGTTCAGTTTATATTTCTTTCACTAATGACTTAATGATTTCTTTTTATTCTTGTGACTTACGGGCACTGATTTACAACTGTGCGCTGGTTCAGGATTATAAAAAGAACGCTTTCTTAGAGGCGGACAAGCAGTGCTCAAACGCAATACGCAACATGGAGAAGAAGATCCGAGCGGCATGCACTGCTCCTGGTGTTAAAGTTTCTGCTGTGATTCAGGTATTTGATCAGTATGATGTGCATGACTCTAGTGATTGAATCTAACTTGTGATTAGTCTTTTTGTCAATAACAGTCAAGTGGGACGGAGTTTTCTGTTTGCTTCTCTTTGTGCTTGCTTATTTGTGTGCAACTTGTGTTCTGAGTTCTGGCTATTGAAAGAAAATCCATTATTTTGTCCTACTTACCAAGGGCTCTTAGTTAGACTGCAGCCCTGCACAACTTTTTGGTGTTCTTTGTGTCACTAGTTATTTAGATTACTAGTTTCTGATCTACCTTATCATTTCAGTTGTTTCATTCTTTATTTCTTTTACGTTGAGATAACATAATTCTGCAGGTCCTCGAAACTGCACTTGCTGAATATGAAACATCTTGTACTGGCCCAGCCAAATGGAGAATGCTTGCTGCCTTTCTAAGACAGTGGTTCGTCCTCCTCCGAGCCTTAAAAATTTCATGTTCATTCCTATGATCTTTTTGGTTTAGTTGTTTTCAGAAGAGCACAGTTTCCTATGTTTGTGTCACTAGTTGTTGTGTGCATGTGTGTGCGTGTGTGTGTGTGTGTTTGGAGACGACTTTGAATTTTTTATTCTACCAGCCTTTGTTGTTTTCACAAGTGATTCAAAGTATTCTTTCTGTGATATTCCTACTTCTCCATTATTCTGATTGAACTTCTCTTGATTCTACTATATAATAGGGATACCTATCCCTATTGTCTCTTGTGAGTTTATTGCTTGTGGGGTTTTATGTTTCTAGATGAAACCAGAACTGTTTCTAAGTGATAATTTTATGGATTCTTACACTTTAGTTTGTGACTTCAAAACCCCTTTTGTAATTGCGTATTGAATCATAGTGATTTAATAAGACACTATGGCTATACTATTGCATATATCAACTGATTGTGGTATCCGGTAAGAAAATTGCGACAAATTCAGCTGGAGCCATTTTGTTCATAATCTAGCATTTTACTCAATTCTTTTCATCAATTCTCCTTCATTTATTGTTTGAATGAGAAGCTTGGCACTTTTTGTTAGAATTTCAATGTTTTATTAATTTATTAGCATCTCTAAGGATCTGATAATATGCTTCTTCTAGTTTGGAAGGGCCTATATTGGACCTCTGCTTGAAGTTAATAAATGAAGCAGAATCAGAGAGGACTTCCTTTACTTTAAGATGTCGGTCAAATGAAGACCAACTAGAACTTCTAAAGAAGCAACTTGAGGCCAATGATGCACACAAATCTGAATATCTAAAGCGCTACGAAGCTGCTATAAGTGAAAAACAGAGAGCCACTGCTGACCTTAGTGGTAATCTTGCAAACCTGAGGACCAAGTGTAGCACATTAGAAGAACGCTGTGTAAGCATATCTAAAGAACTTGATCATGTCCAACATGAATGCACTGATTGGAGGGTGAAGTATGAACAATCTGTTTCTCAGCACAAGGCTGAACAAGATAGATTTGTCGCTCAGTTGGCGTCTCTTGAGTCTAGACATAGCTCTGCAGAAGGAAAGTTGGGAGCAGCTCGGGAACAGGCAGCCTCTGCTCAAGATGAGGCTGCAGAATGGAAGAAGAAATACGAAATGGCTGCTGTGCAGGCTAAAACTGCATTGGAGAGACTCGCATCAGTGCAAGAACAAATTAACAAAATTGCACAAGAAAGGGAAAGTGCTATAAGGGCAGAATTTGCCTCACATTTGGAGGAAAAGGTTCTCTCTCTCTCTCTCTCTAATGTATCTATCATTTTTTACCTGTTTGATGCCTTTTGTTATGATGTTTCATCTATGTGACATCTCGTTACTGACAGGAAGAGGAAATAAGGAAATTAGTTGCAAAGATTAGAGAAGCAGAGAGTGAAGAAAGTGTATTGACTGAGCACTTGCTGGTAGTGATGACTTTTCTGTTATTTCAATCTTCCCTTAAATTGATGCATTCTGAAATGTGAAGGGTAGTTTATAATGCTTGAACATTATTCAGGCTGCGGAATCAAAAACACAGGGCCATAACAAGGAAACTGCATGCTTGAAGGATGAAATCAAAGAACTAACAAGCAAGTTAGAGTTTCTGAGAGACAGAGCAGTATCATATGAAAAACAAGCTAGAATGCTTGAACAAGAAAAAAACCATCTTCAAGAGAAGTTCTTATCTGAATGTAAGAAATATGATGAGGCAGAACAAAGATACAAGTCTGCAGAAAGGGATGTGAAGAAGGCTATTGAGTTGGCTGATGCAGCTCGAACAGAAGCTATTGCATCCCAGAAAGAGAAGGATGAGGCACAGCGGTTATCGATGGAAAAGGTAGCAGTTATAGAGCGAGTTCAAAGACAGGTAGACAGATTGGAGCAGGAAAAAGTCAATCTATTTGGCGAAGTTCAGAGAATGCGTAATTCTGAATCTGATGCCTGGTCCAAGGTTACCTTGCTTGAGAGTAGGGTTGCTGAGCGGGAGAAAGAAATGGATGATTTACTGAGCCGTAGCAATGAACAAAGGTCCAGCACCGTTCATGTCCTTGAGAGTCTGTTGGCAACAGAACGTGCAGCTAGAGCTGAAGCCAATAAGCGTGCAGAGGCCTTATCTCTACAGCTACAATCCGCCCAAGGTAAACTTGATATACTCCATCAGGAGCTGACATCGATTCGTCTTGTTGAGACTGCACTTGATAGCAAGCTACGGACCACTACCTATGGCAAAAGGTTGAGAGATAATGAAGTACGTCTGGATTCTATCCAAGATATGGACATTGATCCTCCAGAGAGGAACAGAAAAAGAACCAAAAGCAACACTACCCCGTTGAAGCCTGTCCAAACTGAGGATGGTGGTTCCGTTCATATGAGAGAAGACAGCGTTACAGTTAGCACGGATGTAAAAGATGGCAATCCAGATGGTTACAAAAAGTTCACCATAGCTAAATTGAAAGAGGAGCTAACTAAGCATGGATTTGGTGCGCATTTGCTAGAGCTGAAGAATCCAAACAAGAAAGATATACTTGCACTTTATAAGAAGCATGTTTTGTGCGAGCAAATGGCCATGTGAAGTTCCAGTCTTCAATGTACATCTATCCAAACTAGGATGGGAATCAATAGAGTAGTCTGTCAGTATATTTAACAAACTGATGCCTCATTGTTTTCCAGGCATTCGGTTCTGCTGATTGGTTTGTATTTTGGTGTTACATCGAATGGTTTCCGGTTTGTGTACAGGCTTGTATTTCTTAGCGTGCTGGTTGTGCTGAGTTACGACTAATTAGGCATGTATATTGTGCTAGTTTGACAAGCTGGGTCCTGACTCCCGAGTGCTAAATGACCTCAACCTAGGCTTCGGCAAGTTTGTGGTACATTTATATATGGTATTGCTGTGTAAAGAGTGCTTTATCCAATTCAAATATGATGTACCCTGCTTCCGGAACCTGCTTCCACCAGCAGGGAAGCAAATGCGGAAGCAACTAATACTGGTTGGTACACGGGTAGGATTACGACTTAAGAGAGATTTTGTGGTGGGTTGGTGAGATTATTGCCTGCGTGCTCTGTTTGGTATTGATGAAAAAGAAAACTCTGTTCTTGCTCTTGTCCATCAGTCTAATTATGATTTTGCAAATGTTTTTTTAACTTTATGATTTTGCCCTTGATATTTTGAGATAAATCATCCGTTTACCACTTGCTTAGATGTCCGTCAGATGGACATAAAATAAATGATTTAAAAATTTCAAAAATATGTAAAAAGGAAGGCGAAAATACTAGTCCAGGCGAATCCAGTGGCGTTAGGTGTGGAGCTAGGCTCGCGCAGCTGCGGTGTTGCCCGGCTGCGGGGCTCGGCCCGTGCACGCTGGTGGCGGCGCCCGGTAGCAGGGCTCGGGTCGCACTCATCGACTATGGCGCCTGACCACAAGGTGGAGACGGCGGCAAAGGCGCGGGTGGCGGTGGCCCCCGAGCGGGGGGTCGGTGCGCCAGGGTAGTCCTTGAATGAATGTGTTCGAATGAGATGTTTGCAACGTTTGTGCACATGTTGATATTTTATAGCTTTTGTAGACATTTTTTTAGGAGCACGGGGTCCGGGCGAATCCAGCAGCGACAGGCGGATCCAACGGCGTCATGTGGGGGCTAGGCGCGTGGCGTAGGCGTGTGCAGCTGTGGCGTTGCCCGGCTGCAGGGCTTGGCCCGTGTGTGGCAGTGGCGGTGCCCGATCACAGGGTGGAGACGGCGGCAAGGGTGCGGGGCGACGGCGACCCCCAGCTAGGGGGGTCAGTTCGTAAGGGTAGTCCTTAAATGAATGTGTTCGAATGAGATGCTTTGCAGATTTTATGCACATGTTCACATTTTGTAGACATGTTCTTTTTTTTGCGAGAAAGCTTTTGTGGACTTGTTGATAATGTGCAAACTTGTAGCTTTTGTGGACATGTTGACCTGGTGCATGGGATACTTTGAAATGTGACATGGACATATTGTTTCTCCATGATTGTTGTCCTGAATCAAATAGTACTCTTGTTGAGATTGAGTTGATTCTCAACTTACCCACAATCACACCATCATCTGCTGTTGCTTCATCGGTGGTCACATAGTTAAGCTGGGCTTTCTTTGGAACACCACCGGTGCACTTGGAAGCTTGTGCACGCGGTGCGTTGGCCTGCTGCTGCTTCTTGCGAGGACACTCACGAGCGTAGTGGCCATAGCCACCACAATCATAGCACGACCCAACGGCATTGTTAGTTGCTGGTGTGGGTGCACGCTGCTACTGTTGCTTAGGTGCAAACCACTTGGGTCTCGGCGCTGCATATCCCAGAATTCTTGGGAGTACTTGCACGCCTCAAGGACGAGCCTTGCCCTTGAGAAAGCGCGGCTCTCTTGCGGTTATCATACTCCACCGCAAGCCCCTTGCTCTCGGCTGTGATAACAATACTAACAAGCTGATTGAAATCCCAGCGAGGTATGTTGCACACCTTCTCTTGCATCACATAACAGAGATCATTTTCATACTTTAGACACTTCACTTCATCAGTGGGAATATCATTTGGAGCATATTGAGTGAGCTAATTCAAGCGGTTGGTGTACTCTATCACAGTCATCCTTCCCTGCACCAAGTTACGGAACTCGGTGGCCTTAAGCGCCATCGCTCCTGCGGGTATGAAAAATCCACGGAACGTAGTCTTGAACTCTTGCTAGGTGAGACGAGCATTGGGCTGCATATGAGTCCGGTAATCATGCCACCAACTGCCTACGGACTCTTGGAGTTGGTGAGCTACGAAGTTCACCTCCCCATCATCTGCTCATGGCGGCGGCGAGACTCCTCATCCCGCTGGTGCATCTGCTCCATAGTGGGCACTCCGTGTGGCAACAGTGGAGGTGATGGTGGTGGATCTTGCGGATTACCATTGCCCCCTGCCTGCCTAGACGATGAGCGTCTAGTGTCAACCATCATTCCAAGACACATCTCCCATTATATATGTGTTAGACAAAATGAGACAAACCGGGTTAAGACAATGCATTCATAGGAGAAATAACATTCAACATGCTTAAAATGGATCATAATATTCCACACATAATGCATCATGGACAAGGATAGACATAGGCCATAATTAAACACTAAACTAGCATTACAATCCAAGTCTCGACTCAACAACACATAGCCAAGGTTACATGATATGAGTGCATTTGCATATGCTTCTACATGCACTAGGGACAAGAGAACGAAGCACAAATAGTCCAATTTGCAAAATACTCACTCTACCTAAGTCTACTTAAGATTACAACACATCACCATTACATAAAAGTTCACAGATAGAGCAAGTCAAACTCGTGATTACATAACATCATAGTGATTACACTCCACTCTGTGAACTAGAGGAGGGTTGGCCCATCGGATCTAGCAGTACATTACATATGGCGACCTTTAGAAGTTGGATGGGAAATGGTTCATTGAAAGCAAATAAGTCATCGGTGTCCCATCATCTCCTGGAGCTTCGGGTGAGTGAGTGATACTAGCTCATTGCCAAGCAAATCCTCCAAGGTCCAAGCGGTTGGAGCGAAACACCGAGTCTTGCAATGCCCTAGCTTGGCGCATCAAGTATGAGGACTCTAACACCATGGGCCTCTGGATAGCGGTAGGGAGGCTCGGTTCATTCATACACTGTGGCATCATCTCCATGTGAATAGTAGAGGACCGTGTGATGGATCCTCGCCATCCTCACATGTGGCTCCACTCGGTGCTAAAAGTTGATGTATCTTGCATGGGTGTACCACAACTCTGACTCCAAGCATCGGATTATGTGCGTCTGGCACTTGACCAACTCTGTCATTCTCTTCTCATACAGAGTGTTGGGCTCCATCAGCATCAGAAAGCAGTAGACACCATTCATCTCTGTCCTTTGTGGAAAGTGCTGGAACCGTGGTTGGCTTAGGATATAGAGCTATTCCCTTAACATGGCAATAGCATGGTAGGCTACAACTTGAATTGCCATGTCGATGGAGGTGCCCTTCCCCCAAGCAACACGGTCAAGCTCACCTCCCTGTTGCAAAGGCGTCTCAGAATGCGAACTTTAGCCATTTAGTCCACCATCCCATGACCGACTCCCTTGGCATACACCGCGTACTCTAGGTGATAGGAGTAGTTAGCTCTCCATATGACCTCATTGAGCAAGTGAAAGCTCTAGATTGGTTTTGGTTAATTGATGAAACCCTAAGTGCTAACCTAGTTTATCAAGATGATTATGAGATAGGTAGCACTACTCCAAGTGATGAAGCAATGACGAAGATCATGATAATGGTGATAGCATGGTGATGATCAAATGCTTGAACTTGGAAAAGAAGAAAGAGAAAAACAAAAGGCTCAAGGCAAAGGTATAAAATGTAGGAGCCATTTTGTTTTAGTGATCAAGACACTTAGTGAGTGTGATCACATTTAGGATAGATAGCCGTACTATTAAGAGGAGTGTAACTCGTATCGAAATGCGGTTATCAAAGTGCCACTAGATGCTCTAACTCATTGCATATGCATTTAGGATCTAGTGGAGTGCTAACACCCTTGAAAATATTTGTGAAAATATGCTAACACATGTGCACAAGGTGTTTGCGGGGTTGAGATGGGTTTGGGTCCCTCTCTCCCCCCCGCCGAGCTTATGAGAGTGGATTCAACGCTTTGGAAAAATGAAATGTCTATTTTCTATTGCGCGGATGCAAAATTCTTAGTGGTTGGCACATTTGAGCAAGGGTGAAGAAGTTAGAGTTGAAATGGAGTTGGTCGAAATGATGTTGGCGTCGGTCTCTTCGACCGGATTTGAGTCACTCAATGACCGGACGCTGAAAGGTCTGCGTCCGGTCGGTATCGAGCGACCTGATGGGTAGGTTGAGCACCGGACGCTGGGTCATGTCCGGTCAAGGTGGACGGGACGCGTCGGTCGAAAAAACATGCCTTGGGAGTTGAAGAACGACGGACGCTGGGGCTTCAAAGCGTCCGGCGTCGGTTTTTTGGAGCGTCCGGTCAACCAGAGCGTTGAAATCGACGAACAGCGTTTGAAGCTGGTGACGCGTGGCGTCCATCGGCGACCGGACGGCCGAGGGCAGCGTCCGTCGGTATGACCGGAGCGTCCGGTCGAGCGTGTTTTGCCCTTGATGAAGGGGTACAACGGCTCTATTTGATGGGGGCTCTATTTATAGCCCCATGGCCGCTCAAGGGAGCACTCTTGCACATTTTCATTGACATAGCAACCTTGTGAGCTTAGCCAAAGCCCTCCCACTCATCTCCATCATTGATCCATCATCATTGTGAGATTGGGAGAGAATCCAAGTGCATTGCTTGAGTGATTGCATCTAGTGGCACTTGGTATTCGTGTTAGGCGTCATGGATTTCGCTTGTTTCTCTTGGTGGTTGCCACCACCTAGACCAGTTGGAGCAGCGGTGAAGGATCGACATGAGTTGGTGATTGTTCGTGGCGCCTTCGGTGATTGTGAGGGAGTTGTACCTTTCCCGGCGGAGTGCCAAAAGGTAACTCTAGTAAATTGCTCGTGTCATTGAGTTACCTCACTTGTGGGTCGGTTCTTGCGGTG